TGTTCTATATGGGTGCACTCCTTCTGCTTATAATCTACTAACACTGTGTTTTACTTGTTCTTTTCATCAACAACAACAACAAAAGTACAGTCTATTATGCAATTGTCCTTTGAAGGATATGTCTATGTACCTTGATTAATTTCCTGATATTTTGCAAATGTCCTTAATGTACCTATGCACATGAAAAAATAAAGAATTTTGAAAAAAAAGTTGACAACAACACAAGATCTTTCATAGTTTGTCATCTATAGAATGTCCTCAAAATACCAAGAGGGACCTAACTGCTCACACACCCACCCCACTCTGTAAGTACACTTACAATACATTACTTTTTCAGAAAGAAAATGTGACTTTTCAGCTGAAGAGAATGTTAAAAAGTATAATAGTTATATTTACAGTAATGTTAATGTTTTTATGCTTCTTTATTGCATATGTTCTTTCAAGATGGTTTATTATACTTTGAAGAGTGAATAAAACGTTACTCACAAAATATATAGTAGTTATATGAATTGTAGAAAGCTTCTCAGTAAAATATACATTATTAATTCCAAGGTTAAAAAACAAGTTATATTGCAATGTATAATCGTACCCATAACCTATTTTTGTAATTATGTTTACATGATCAAGTCATATTTTTAACAAGAAAAATGCACATTTGTGGGTATTCCAAATAGTTTCATCAGTTTGCCAACTGTTTTACTACATTGCCTTCCTACTTGCATCTCAATTCTATTAGAAGCGAGAAAATGGGAGTATACAGATTTTATCAATTCAATCAATATCCTCCAACATCATTATAAGTGATCTAATTAATTGTAGTTCAAATTTAATTATATTCAAATATCACCATTCTCAGTCTAATTATATAGCATGTGATATTACGTCACATGCAATAAGGTGAAGATTACAAATGGACAAACTCACTTATCTTATCAAATAAAACTAAAAGATTATGCGTGTGAAATTCCAACTTGTAACAAACTTAGTAAAGTTTAAAAAGCAAGTTCATTAGCCAATAACATTATTTAATATTATAACCTTCATCAGTTCTTGCCAGTGTTTCACTCATGAGAGCTTGGTCACATGGCTAAAACACAGAGGCTAGTGACAGAAAGTGAGACAAAGAGAGTAGAGAGAGAACGAGAGAGAAATATAAGAGTTATTTGGAGTTTGAAGAGGTTTGACATGATTTCTGATTAAATATAAAATATTACACATATTACACATTTTCACATTACACCTATACACATACGTAAAATGTACACACATATGTTTTTCTACACTTAGCGCATATTTACATTTTCTTTTTCAGTTTGATAGAGTGAAATGGAGTCTTTTGTGCATTTTACTGATTGCAAGTGAGATTGTGAAAGTGAGTGTAATTGTGGGTTGAATATAAGGAGAGGAGAAAAAAGACAGATAGAGGAGAGAAGGCAGGGAAAGATGGTGGTGATGTTAGCTAAGATGGTTTAGGCAGATTTATATGTGAGGAAGAGATACATTAAACTACATAGAAACAACGTATCGAAACTGATAAAATATAAAAATGTTTGGGGACCTGAGCTTATTTTAGTAACTGGTAGTGCAAAGTATGTTTCAGTAGCTTAGTTATCTATTCAGAGATTTCATAATAAAATAACCTCAGTCTTTGCGTCTATACAAAAAGCTATACAAACATTACAACGAACAAACACATATCAAACCACTTACACATGAGAAATTACTGTTGTGTATCATCTGCATATATAAAGTTGGTTTTGGAAAGCCTTCCTGGGGCAAATGAGAACAGACAGGCATCATGTTCTAGACTTCACTTTGCATTTCTGCAGGTTTCTTTAGGAATGGACACTGCTTTTTTTTTTGTCTTTCTTTTTTTCTTTTCTTTTTTCAGACTTGTACCTGCCCCGCATACGTTTTGTATTACTTGTGTGAAGCGGGCTTTGGTGCAATGTCATGATCAATGTATTGCTGCATTGTTAATCTACCCATCCCTCCCACCTGGGTCTCCCTCTATTTCTATGTATTTCTTAATGTAGGTTTCTTGTCTATCCCACCCTGCACGTTTAATTCATGGAGAGTGCGAGAGCCTCTTATATCTTGTATGGTTTCTATGTTTTGATATTCTAGTTCAAAAAAGTATAAGGTGGAGTATCTTACATACGCTTTTCAAATAGTTCTATGATATGTCCTACAAGGAAGTAAAACAACAGATACTAGTGCAATATTGCCTATACAATAAATAGCAGAAATTGAATAAAGTTCCAGCAAATGCAAACTCACAAAGGTGGAGCCACTATGAATTGGGCTCAGATAATTCGCCTTGTGGGATGTAAAGAGTCCCACTCCCTTCTCTGTATCCTGAGATCTTTGTTAAAGATAATCACAAATTCGCAGAAGGAATGTGATAAAATAATACAGAATTTATTTAAAAGTAATAAAACAATAAAGAAGACCTTACAGTCTCTGTAGGGTAGTCTTGATAGCAAAAAAATATGGAACGCTTCACGAATTTGCGTGTCATCCTTGCGCAGGGGCCATGCTAATCTTCTCTGTATCGTTCCAATTTTAGTATATGTGCTGCCGAAGCTCGTGAAGCGTTCCATATTTTTTTGCTATCAAGACTACCCTACAGAGACTGTAAGGTCTTCTTTATTGTTTTATTACTTTTAAATAAATTCTGTATTATTTTATCACATTCTTCTGCGAATTTGTGATTATCTTTAACAAAGATCTCAGGATACAGAGAAGGGAGTGGGACTCTTTACATCCCACAAGGTGAATTATCTGAGCCCAATTCATAGTGGCTCCACCTTTGTGAGTTTGCATTTGCTACTTTATTCAATTTCTGCTATTTATATTTATTATCTGTTGTTATTATTGTTTTAGGACATATCATCAACTATTTGAAAAGCGTATGTAAGATACTCCACCTTATACTTTTTTGTGTTTGTATTACTTTGTGGGTGAAGGTTAAGGGGACCTCACCAGGGTGTTAGAGTTACTTGCATACTTGCACATAGCTTGTATTGGGTCACTGTTATCTATTTTGTGATATTCTAGTTGTCTGACTGCCCGGTTCAGGGTTGTATTACCCCCTTTCTTTTTTTAATATTTTTCCCTTTTTCTTCTGCTTTATTTCCATCTCTCTTCTCTCTTTTTTTCCCTTTCACCTCCTCTCCCTTCCTCTGACCTTTTGTTAACCTCTGGTAGAGGGCAAAGTCAGGAAGGAAGAATCTGAAAGAGAAGAGTCAGATCACTATGTGGAACACCGAAGGACTAGTAAACCATCCATTCTATTTATCCATGTATCCCAGTCCTCTATTTGCTTATATCTGTTTGCCAAGTTTACTAGGATACCTCTTTACATTCTTGCTTGCCATGCTACTTGTTTTATCAATTAGCTGATATTTGGAATTGTCTCTGTTTTCCAATTTCTTGCAAGAAGTAATTTGGATGCCGTAATTATTTGTAATGACACCATTGATGTTTTTTTTTACATTTCTGGCCAGTGCAAGTTTAGTAAAACCACTTCAGGCTTACAAGATAGTTTTTGTAACGGATCACCTGGCACCCTGACTGGGTACCTCCGTTGAAAGATGCTCCTAGCGCTTCCAGAGGACTCCAAGCACTCCACCAGACACCATAAGCACCGCAGGCTGCAGCTATCTCCCTTCAGAACGAAGCAGGAACAAGCTCTTACAAGAGCTCAGTGATTATAGCAAGGGAATATGCCTAGCATAGCAATCCCTTGTAGCAGATTCCCCCAATAAGAGACAGGACTCAAGTTGAGGGTAAAAATAGAACTCTCTGGCTGCTAGCTTGCAGCCCTTTTTATTAGGTGCTCCCATGAAGGGGAGGGACACACACAGTAACGTACATTAACCAATCACACAATAGTTACATCCCACACATAGCCCTCCCCTCTACCTGTAAACTAATTATCTGTACACACAGGGAAATACAATTATCAAAGGTAGGGAAAATACAGTTTTTACACAACATTCATAACTCCCAAAATATACATCACATTCGCATAAAAATACATATTCACAATCAATCCATTCAGGGGAACAACATATTAAAAAATGGCATGAATCAGACCAGGGGTTCAAAAGTTAGTAAAAGTATCTTTTGTTCCCCCTGGCTCAAACAGTAAAAGTAAAACATCCCCACAATGCATCCTGGCTTCCTCCCTTCTGCCCTGGAGATAATTGGAGAAGGAATCTAATTATCTCCAAAGACAGAGCCAAACTCCATTACCCACATGGCAGACAAAAAGACAGTAAAAGACATAAAATTACATACTGACACATTTAGTACATAAAACACACATTTCTACATATCCCCAGATAGCTTGGATCTGACTGCACATTATTAGATGAATGGCACTCAGATCACACGAATAAGCCTTTCTGCAGGGAAAATAAACAGTTTAACCTGCAGGGCCATAGTCCAAAGGCAAGAGGCGGGCAAGCAGCCCCCTCCAAGGACACGTGGCGAGGTCGGTTTTGCCACACTTCTCCCCTTTGCCCCCCAGACTAACAGGGTATCTGACCTCCTGCCGGTCAGTGCCCTGGTTAGTCCAGCAACCCACCCACGAAGCACAAACAGCAGTACAGCCCACCCACAATAAATGTTTACTCCACCTGGATAAAGTAGCAACTTGTCCATGTCCAGGTGCCTCACCACGGCTGTGTGGGGAGCTGGTAGACTGCCTTGGTGGGTTGCTGAGTGGGCAGAGACCAGCGGTACTCTGCCCTGGTGCCAGTGCTACCACCGAAGTAGCCTGATTGGAGCCTGGTTGTGGGAGGGGGAGACCGACCGTCTCCCCTCTGGGTACACAGCTCTGGGGCTGGGGAACAGGACCGACCGTCTCTACCCCTTGGGCTGTAAGCGCAGAGACTACGGTCCCATCTGCACAGTTGCGGGGCTCAACATCTCCCCTTGGTGGGTTAGGCTGCCGCTGGAGAGAGGGTGTAACAAGCTCCTCTCTCTGGACTGTCAACTGCCGCTGGGGAGAGGGGTTAACAGGCTCCTCTCCCTGACACTCTCTCTGCTGGTGGAGAGGCGGACCAGCTGTCTCCCCTTTCATTATTTTGTCCTGCTGCTGGGGTGTGAGACTGACGGTCTCTGCTCCCTGCAGGACACACTGCCGCTGGGGAGGAAGGACAACACCTTCAGCTCCCTGGGGTACACACTGCCGCTGGGGAGGAAGGACGACACCTTCGGCTCCCTGGGTTACACACTGCTGCTGGGGAGGACGGACGACACCATCAGCTCCCTGGGGTACGCACTGCCGCTGGGGAGGAAGGACGGCACCTTCCGCTGGGGCAGCCTGTAGAAAGTCAGGCTCAGGGGAAGGAAACAAGGGAGGACAGAGGCCAGCGGCGCTCTGCCCAGTTGCCAGCTCTTCTGCTGGGGGGTCAGGGAACAAAGGAGTTGGCTGGGGAGGAGAAATATCACTTACCTCCCCCTGGTACTCCGGCTGCTGCTGGGGGGGGAGGTCGATGCTCTCCACTTTCTGTAACTCCAGCTCTAGTTGGGGATCTGGGCCGGTTGCCCAGCATCCCTGTAGGGCCGGTGGAGAGATCTCGGTCCCATCTCCACCTGCCTGCAGGGGGTCCTCCCAGGACCAGTCTATGAGGTCCTCTACCTCGGGTACCTCTGGTTGCTGTTGGGGAGGGAGACCGGTTGTCTCTTCCTCCAATAACACATTCTGCCGCTGGGGAGTGAGACCGACTGTCTCCCCTCCCTGTAAAACATACTGCCGCTGGGGATCTGGGCCGGGTGCCCAGCATCCCTGTAGGGCCGGTAGAGAGACCTCGGTCCCATCTCCACCGGCCACCTCGGTTTCTTCCTCGTCCCACTCTACCTGTGGCTGGAGTTTCTCCCAACGTGCCCACTGGCCTTCCCTCAGCGCCCTGTGTTGTAGGTTCCGGGTCACCATGTCCCACACGAACCGCACGTATTTCTCCTCTGGATTGGGTCCGTAAAACTTCAGGTGCAACCCTACCATCGTGCCAAACTCTAGTACGGAGTAGCTATACGCCATGCTTGCTGTAGCCACTGCTGGTTCCATTATGTTGCTGAAGATAAGGACGCTGCACAACTCCACACGTTACCGGTGTCTCCGAGCTGCTTCTCCTCGCACTAGGATGCCATCCCGCCGCTTGCCACCAATGTAACGGATCACCTGGCACCCCGACTGGGTACCTCCGTTGAAAGGATGCTCCTAGCGCTTCCTGAGGACTCCAAGCACTGCAGCAGACACCACAACCACCGAACCGAAGATGCTCTCAAGCATATGAATGCTGTAGACAGTTGAATAGGAACCATACGAATAGGTTTACTCTCCTAGCAGTCAAACTGGAACAGCATACAATAAATCCTTCCCCCAATAATGAGACGACACTTCACTTTGAGGGTTAAAGCAGGAACTCAGGTGCTGGCACACCCAGCCTGGTTTTTATTACAGTCTTGCAAATACAGGACCGCCCACAGGGAGGTATAAAACAACCAATCACATCACAGTTACATCCCACATATTCCCTCCCCTTATCCTGAGAGGAAACTCAATTACACATACAGTTAAAACATACTTTCTACCCAACTTTCATAACTCTAAAACCATACATCACATTCACATAAAATTACATATTCACAATCAATCCATTCAGGGGAACAACATATTCAAAAATGGCACAAATCAGACAAGGGGTTCAAAAGTTAGTAAAAAGTCCTTTGTGACTAAATGAAGCATGGCTTTCTGGCCCAAACCAGTTTCAGAGCCTTCTATCCTGGAGATAAGTAATTCAATTATCTCCCAGGACAGACACAAGACTCCATTAAGCACATGGTTGCAAAAAGACACAAAACACTTTAAAATACATAAAGTCACCTTTACACATAACACACAGACATTTCACATATCCCCAGATAGCTGGGATCTGAGTGCACATTATTAGATGAATGGCACTCAGATCACACAAATAAGCCTTTCTGCAGGGGAAATAAACGGTTTAACCTGCAGGGCCATAGTCCAAAGGGAGCAGGCGAGCAACCAGGCTTCTCCAGTTCACAGTGGCGAGGTTGGTTTCGCCACAGTTTTATTTCTGTTATTTGGTATATTATCTTGATTACTTCTTTCCAAAATATGTTTATGGGTGTGCACTGCCACCAGCTATGGATCATATTGCCTTCAGCAGTATTGCATTTTCAGCATCTGTCTGGTAGTTCTGGGAAGATTTTCTTTAAGCGATTAGGTGTTAAATACCATCTATTTGATAGTTTAAACTGAGTTTCTAAAAGATTTAGACAATGTATATTCTTATTTAGTTTATTTAGGGAATTTATCCATTGTTCTTCTTGTATAGGTACATGTAGTTCTTTTTTCCCATTTATTAATCAATGCTATCGGTTTGTCATGTCTCCATCTATATACAACTTTAGCACATTTTGCTATTAGGTTTTTATAATTCAAATAATTATATACGATTTATGGTATCCTCCTCCTTGTTTTTAAAGAGGTGTTTTGCTAGAAAACTTTTAATATGCAGATAATTGAACGTTTTACTGGGAGGAATATTAAAGTCCTTCATAATTATGATGAAAAGTTTAGGTTGTATTATTCCATTATGTCTTTAACCCCTTAAGGACACATGATGGCAATATTGCGTCATGATTCCCTTTTATTCCAGAAGTTGTGTCATTAAGGGGTAAATAAATTCCTTTACCCCTTTTGACATCCATAAGTCTGTTTTTATATTTTCTAACATATCTGAGATACTTGCAAATGGGAGCGTTTCAATAATTTTCTTTCTAAGGCCTTTCTTATTTGTAAGTTTATCCCACCATCTCATTAGCTCTTTAAGTATCTGAGATTTGCTTCGTGCCTCTCGTAATTTTTTTATTTGCCTCAACAATTCAAAATAATGAGGATAAGTTTCCGACCCAAGTTTTAGCTTTTTCCATTTTATGCCATATTTCTTGAGTAGCTGCCTTGCTTTGTGTGATCATTATATGAAATAATCTGCTGGCCTGATAACATTGTAAAACTTCTGGGCACCCCAAGCCTCCGTCTTGTTTTGATCTAGCCAATACTTTCATTTTGACTCTTAATTTCCTGCCCCGCCTCAAATAAATTTAACAGAGTGTAACAGAGACAGCCAGTTTTCTGGGAAAAGAATTGGAATCATTCTCCAAAGGTACAACTATTTTGACAGGATATATGCTTTTAGGATGTTAATCCTACCCGACCATGAGAAACCCATGCCTTTCCAATACCTTAGATTTTTGTTATTTTGCTTTAGTAGGGTAGAAAGTTAGTTTCTTTTAAATCTTTTAATTCTGAAGTTATGTTGACACCCAGATATTTTAGTCTGTCACTGTTTTCGGGTAGCCCAGTGTTCTGCACAAATAGTTTGATTGCCATTTTATTCATATTTTTAGCTATAAATGTCAATTTTTCCAGATTTAGTTTAAATCCTGAGACTTTGGAGTAGTTGTTTATGTCCTTCAGTTGTTCTGGGACCAAAATGATTGGCTCTTCTAATGTTAATAGGATGTCATCTGCATAGATGTTTAGTTTGGTTTGTCCTAGTGAATTTGTGAATCCCTAAATTGTATTATTCTGTCTTATTAAAATTGCTAAGGGTTATAGCACCATTATATACAGTAAGGGGGAGAGAAGACACCCTTGTCTGGTCCCATTTTTTATATTAAAATTTTGGGATGTAAAACCTTACCCTGTTTTCTTAGCTGATGAAGGCCCTGTAGAGAACATACGTGACTTGTAAGATTGGTCCAGTAATTCCAAAGCGGTTTAAAGCGGCAAACATGAAACCCCATCCAACCCTGTCAAACGCTATCTCTGCGTCTATTGACAGAAGTATTAAAGGGGTTCCACTGCTCTCAGCTTCCTCCTTTATGTTTATTATTTGTCTAAGGTTGTTAACTGAGGACCTCCCTAGTATAAATCCGACTTGATCATTATTAATTATTAATAAGTTATGGTATTACTGTTTTTAATCTATCAGCTATAAAGGAAGATAGTATTTTTATATCTGTATTAATTAATAATATGGGTCTATAATTGCTTATATTTTCTAGGTCTTTGTCTGCTTTTGGGATGGGCACACTGTTTGCCCTCAACAACTCTCTAGGACAGTCTCATGTTTCCATTATATGGTTAAAAATATTGGTGAGTTCCCTTTTAGTTGATCATTAATTTGTAAAATGTATTTGTAAAGCCATCTGGGCCTGGAGCGGTCTTTATTTTAAGTTTATCTATCAATTTACTGACCTCTTCTTCTGTTATGGGCTGATTTATTTGCCTTAATTGATAGGGTTGGATTTTTGGCATGGGCAAGTTTTCAAAGAACTTCTCAATCTCTTTTGCTTTACCAAATGTTTCTTCTGGTAAGCTGTATAAATTTGGATAAAATCTTTCAAATGCACCTCCAATCAATTTTTTCCATAGCCTTTAGAAAAGTATTGTTCTCTTTTATTTTGTATATTACTCTTTTATATTTTTTCAATTTATTGGTCACCATTGTTTCTGGTCTATTACCTTTTAAATACCATTTAGCTTGCAATGATTCTAGTTGTTTAGATGCTTTATTTATTAGTTGATTGTTAATCTGTTTTTCAATTTATGCAATCTTACTTGCTGTTTGTGTAGAAGGTATTAATTTATTTTGCCTTTTATGTTGGCTTAATGTTATATATAGTTTCGATAGGGTCAGTAATCCTCTTTTATTTTCAATCGATATCATTTTTATCAGGTGACCTATAACTACACTTTTGTATGCACACCAGACCATAATGTCCTTTGTGCCTTTGCCTTTATTTTCACTAAAGAAGAGATTTGTTATCTTTTCAGTTTCTTCCACACTACTTTTTTGTGTAATATAAAGTCTTTTAAATGCTACTTTTTGTGAAAATTATCAAATGTATCTTTATATTCCAGCATGATAGGGCTGTGGTCTGACCATACTATATCCTGTATCTCTATTTTTTTTTTTTTAAAGATACAGCATGGTCACATCTCCCGAGATATAATCTATTCTGGAGTAAGAATTGAATGTTCTAGAATAGCTTGTATAATCTAAATCTGTGGGGTGAAATGTTCTCCATATATTTCTTAGGTTGTGATTGTTAAGTAAGTTTTGCAGTCTGTTCTGATCTTTATTTTTATTTTTATT